AGATGCAGGATACTACACTGATTTGTACTGCTTCTCAAAAACCGTAAAAACCTGGTTCTTGAAATCATTAGACGTTTCATTTTATTCAGTCATAGTTCGTTGATGCTAAAGCTTTTGCCAGTACAAACGTTAAGCTAGAGCAAGGCAGGTAAGGAAAGAACAAATCGTTCTGAGTTTGTCATATTCAAAGAATTTCTAAGCGCACAGCTCAAATGTAAGCGTTTGTTTGATTACTGTGATGGACTCTTAGAGTTACTCAAGTAAGCCGTACAAGATATACATACCATCCAAAGCCTGCATACCCAAAGCATTTGTTGTTAGGTCTCCTATGGTAGATGCATTGACTAGGAGAAAACGTCGGTCACACGGTCCTTGCATGTAAAATATAAGCAAAATTTTGGGAAGCCATAAAATAAGCCTACTGTCGTTTATAGAACACTAGCCCCCAACATTCCCTGCATTGAATAAGTTTATATTGCCATTTCAAATATTCTCGGGCATCTTCCTGCTGCCATTAAAAGACAATTTCCATGCTTCTCTCTTCTGCTGGAGTGTTAAATACCAAAAATCTTTAGGAGACCGCATAACATTTAGAAACGCTGCACTTTCTTTTGCGATTTCTTTTCATTAAATCCTTGCTCAAAGCAATTCCATTCCCTTTGAGTACTTATAAGAAAAATGTACAGATTTCTAGAATAGTGCAGCTCTTCATGACAAATACTTTCCAACCCATTTTATCACTTGTTCTGCTCCTTCGCACCAGAACTACTCTGATTTCAACATACACCAAGAGATAGCTTTCAATCGCCTTTTTCTGAGAATGGAAATATCATCATCTCTCTTCTAAAGGATTGTTCTAAGCAGTAGACTGCGCTAAAAATGATCTGTTACTGAATGCCTAGGGTTTAGCGCGCGCTAAAAGTTTTACCTTAGAAATAAAATGAGGCGTCTGAATTGTCTAGGAGTTCCAATCAGTGAGTGTATTGGACGAGACAATGCAATGACGTATGTGAGCGCAGGAAAATGTATGAGCACCGTACGTCGCACACTGCATTCCTGTTTGCCATGACGACTTTATGTATGTGACAGTGGTCTCTAAAGCCAGAAAACGACAACCACTTCTATCAACATCCATCATGCTAATATTAAAATCTAAAAGCAGAAACCCAAAATTCGTACCGTAGTTGTGTAGCTATTGTAACGAAATCATTGAGCTAACTGATCGCAAAGTAATTCATCCAGTTAGAGATATGACAATGTCCCCCATGTATATAGACACAATAGCCATTCCAGCGCAAACGCTACCTACAGATCTTGGCAATAATCTTAGATCATCGCAATCATCTAATTTCTCCTCTTCAAAAGGCATGCTATCAAGAATCTGTTTCCTCTTATGATATTTATCATTCAATATGATTAGGGAACAAAAAACGCCGCAATACTTAGAAACGCTCCACTACCGAAAAAAGCAAGTCTCTCATGTTTAGCGCGCTTCTCAATGTACACATTTGGATTACATTGAAAACTGCTAAAATGATAAGTGATCACTTCGGTAGCTCCAATTTCTATCTTTTGTATTGTTAACGTTTGTAAAAAAGAACATGACTTCAGCACCTTTTTTTTCATCCTGAGTACAATCGCGTTTATAAGGACTTCAAATAGATGAAAAGTAAACTAAGTTTCAGGTAAAATATTCAGCCAGATAGAGTTCTAGGGGCTTTTACAGTGTCTAGAGCAAATTGAAATATAGAGATTGAATGATCTATGGTACTGATATTGTACCCAAAACATTTTACTAATGCTTTCTTGACCTACCCTGAAAGTGTTGGACTTTGCGCTCGCAAATTTTATGTCTCTCACCCTATTGCGGAGTTTAGTTTGTTTTTATTATGCTTCTTCGTTGAGCTTGGTTAACCTTCACGAATCTGTTACAATAGCGAATTTGATG